AAACTGTAGCAAAGAAAATTGAGGTTGGATACTGGGAAGAACTTTCTTACTAGAAGGGTCATTAATCATTGGAACAGGCTATCTAGAGAGATTGCAGAATCTCCAGTTTTAGAAGTTTTTAAGAACAGGTTACACAGCCACTTGCCTGGGATGGTTTAGTCACAAGATGAGCCTGGCTAGAGCAGGGGTTTGACTAGATGTCCTCCTGAGGTCCCTTTCCACCTTACTTTTCTATGATTCTACGATCATGTGTGCAGGTGAATGGAAATTGCAACAGTTCTATAATACAGTTTTTTTGTAATACCTGCTCATATTCTAAGAGCTGATACAAGGATCTCCTATGATATCCTACATATTCATCAACCACTCTGTCAAGGACTCTTTAGCCCCATGAGAAGAACATTAACGTCTGGGATCTCTGCAAGTTGGCAGTTAAGACTATTTCACTGCCATCCAAATGAGAGGGTACCTGCCGGACATGTACTAAAAGGTGACAAGAGGATCTTCTCCAGACAGGCCCCTCACTCCAACTCAGCCCTATGCCCTCAGTGTACTTTTTGATGGGGACTGCACTGGTTCCCACAAGCTGACACCACGCTCATTTTGCGTTAGGACCCACATATCCCCCAAACTTCAATACCGCACTTTTTATGACTGTCATTACCTTTTCCTCCCCTGACAAGCCATCTTCCTCCTCTGCCCCTTCACTGATCTTCTCACTGTGTTCCAACGCATCCAGAAGCCCAACTTGCTGCCTCCTGGAGGCGACAGACCCTTGCTCATACTCCACGCACAGGCTGGCTGCTCCATCCCCACTTGCTGACAAATCTGTATCAGAAAGACAACACACAAACATTTGCCTTCCTTCTTATACTTGGCAACTCACAGATGCTTTCAGTAACTCCCAAGGTGTGGTGGGTTATTCCTCTTCTTTTTTTTTTTTGTTTCTTGTACTGGAACTACACAGAACATTTTGGTAAAAAGTCATTTTAGCTGATCTTTCCCATCCTGGTGAGAGACTATCTACAGGTCTGGCTTCTGCATTTAAAAGGAGGACTTGCAGATGGGGCAAAATCTCAATAGTCATATTTAAAATGAAAATGGTTTATATAATGTGATATGCTTTGGGAATCCTGTGCCACTTACCAGTGAAGTTATTTGCTTAATCTCAGAGTTCAGTTTCTGCATCTAAGCAACCTGGCAGTGAAGTCTGCATATACATATTTTACTTGACACAACACTAATTTCACAGCAAAAAGACAGTGACACCACCTACAAAGTATAATCCTCTCACTCACAAGGTTGATGTTATCATGTGTAAGTGACAAATGTTATGCTGTCATCTATTTAAGCTGTCTGTCCATGAAGCATATTTTATCTCATCCTTTAAGGCCCTGATTTGTCTGGTTGGAGAGACCAGAACTTGCTGCTACAAATAGTATTACAGTAACACCAGTTTGCTACTTCTAAAAAAGCATTTTCCCTGAAAGTAAAAAAGAAATTCCCTACATTTGTTGGCTTGCAAGAAACCTAACAAGTATATTAATAGGGCAGTGGTATCACTTTGTTTTTACTTCCAATAACACAATTTGCATAGCAAAAAACAGGAAATTAACTGTGAATCGTCAATGGAAGGATCACACCACCCTCAGCCAACTGTGAAAGACTGCAATCAAACCACACAAGAAACTTGCTTCTGTTTTAATCACAGTTTTCTCTTTAGAAGTTCTGCTTCCTGCAGTCCTTTCACTGAATCACTCATGATGCAAGCCGGCTGCTTATGAAGGCATACCCTATGCATCTCTGAATCAGCTGGTCTATAAGCTTCAAATTTACCTTGCCTTCCACTCAACAGAAGAATGACATCTAGCAGAAAACAATGAAGAATTCCTAAGTATTATAACTGGCTTGGAAATCGTACTTACAACAAAGTCCAGTATTACAGTCATATTTAGAAACGGTGATGGATCCAGAGGAAGGTACCGTAACAGCATCTTATGCCGGAAATGTTTTTACCCTTTGACATCTTTTAAATCTCAAATGTTTAGATCTAATCCCTTTCTGAACCTTGTTACACTACCTGCCTCTACAAACTCTTGGGGCAACAGTTCCACAAGCTAACTGCCTGCTACATAAAATGTACTTCCTCTTGTTTGAGCCCAATATTCCCATTTAGCTCTTTGATCCACTACCACCAATCTGTGCACCATTTTGTACCTTGCCCCCTTTCTCTAACGCCTTCTGAATTCCCACCCTCCTGTACCTGCCAGCCTCTCTGTCCTGCTTTCTCCAGTATAGCTCAGAAGCTTTTGGCAGGATTGGAGACTGGTGTCTACATAAAACCTGGACCTACCTCTTCTTTTTCTCTTTAAACTAGGAACGTGAACATCCAAATTCCTGGCTTTTTTCAGAGGGAGGCTAAGCTCAGCTGAAGCAGATGATGTTGGGTCCCCTTCACAGATAGTACTAGCACAAGAGGAGTTCCGGGTTGGCAGTGGAGGCACCTGTATATAGATTTCAAAAGATTATAGGAGTCAAAAATGACTGTTTCACTTCATAGTCCGTCTCATTTTGCCATGAAAGATTCCAAGAGCAAAACGGAGGACAGCTCATCTGTCCTGCCTAACTGTGATGGTGGGTTCTGGATCTGTGCACACCTGCCGTGACTGAATTCTTAGACCTGGGCCAGGGTTATGCACAGTGCAGATATGGGAACTCAAAACAAAGCCTAGGGGAAGAGAAGCATTGCATGACTACACATGAAGACAGTGGGCAGCATCACACAATGCGTGCATTTTTAATGAATGATCCCTTTTTGATGTTCTTGCTGTAATACAGCCCCCCTTACCAGAGGTGCATTTTCTTTTGGCTCCCTTTTCTAATGATACATTAATATAAAGGCCAGCCAGGACAATTATATCACCCACTTTGATGGCATATGCATGCCATTACATTTCACCCCTGAATTGACCCTAGTAATTGTGGTGGCCAAAGGCATCTAAGTCCAGATTTGAAGACATTCCCTTAAAAGTTTATTCCAATCATTATGGCTGTGGTAAAACAACAAAACAAACAAACCTGTGCCTCAAATTTATCTGGCGTCAGCTTTCAGCCACTTGTTCGTTACACCTGTCACCCCTATTCTGAAGAGCCCTAGATGAACAACCTGGCATTTAGCCAATTTAAAACCCAGTTCTGAATGCATATGCCAAGGCGGCCCTGCAATCCACTGTGCTCTGCATCATCATCCAATTCACTTTGCTAATACCATGAGCCAGAGGAGACCTCTAAACCCACCCAACTAAAGAAGATTGCTTGAAAAGGATGAAAGCAGCTTCTCTTTCCTGTAGCTGAGTACTCCTAGTCCCTGAAACCTCAAGACCAACTCCTCCTTTTTCTGAAGGGGTGTAGGTTATATCCATGTTGGTCTAAGGACATAGGCACACAAAGTTCTTTGGGTAAATCTGATCTCTTTTATTTATTTTATTTAACCTTTTTCTGAAGACACTTACAATTTTCTGAGCAACTCGAAAGAACTGGGAGACATCTCGGACTGCGTGTCCAAAGTTGTCATACACCTTGACATAAGGGCGGACCCAGGAAGGCAGCCTGCCTCTGACGTCACTGTTTAAGAACCTGTGGAAAGTTGGAAGAGAGGAAAATTCTCCCTCAGTCAGTCCCATTAATTTAACCTCTCAAAAGGATGTGCAGCTTTCAACAAACATCTCTCCAGACAGCCTGGAAGAGGGACCCACGATTAAATAGCAAGCAGAGGAGAGAGTACACATAAATATCCTGTATGCATGGGAAGGCAAGACTTAGTTGAAGCCAGGTGTTATGCAGTCGAGCACTGTCCCAGTTTCATCCAGACAGTCTACCAGTACATGCCAGCACTGAACTGCAGGATACGCTGGGCAATCTGGTGGTTGCGTCAGAG